CTGCAGAGGAAATAAAGATTTCTCGCTGTAAAATCTAAGTGAAAAACAGAGAAAAAGAGAGGCCCTATTAAGTCAATCGAAAATCATCCAAGGTTGCTTCTAGCCTAGAAGGATATAAATAAATAAAAGCAAGCCAACATGTATAAAGTCTTGTATTTATCAAGCCTTAAAATGACTGCCATCTACACTGGGGTGTGAATGAAAGCATTAGCCACTGGTTTTGACATTTGGCTGAATAATAAACAAGTACTAAAAGCTCGGGATAATTCTTTCAACCCGGATTTGTTTCTGCACAATTAGATCTTCCTTTTAAAGCACAATTAGCAATATGGTGCCAAAGCCAACCAGGGAGAAGAAGGAGAGGTGTGGCAGAGCTCAGGGAAAGCAATAAAGAGAAGCAAAAAGGTTAAGTTGAGTGGCGCACAGTTTTTATGGAAATGTCACAATGTTTTTAAAGCATTTATTGTGCCTGGGTGCTAGATGCTTTCTAAACTGAAAGCGCTTTATCCTAATTCATTCCAAAACAGCCTCCAAAATAAACTGGATAGAACAGCTTAATTATGGCTGTGGTAAAATATTCAGTACATGTTTAATGAAAAATAAACCTCAGAATTATCGTATGGAACGACTTAACTCGCAAGAATGATGTGTCCACTAAATTAAAATTATTCTTCTACTTTATATTAAAGAGATGCTAGTGATTCATTTTATTCTTTATTTGGATCTCCACTATTTGTTACCACAGCAACAACTATTCGGTACAGTACAAGATATTCAAACATTACACTATATTCAGTAACCAAGTAAATTGAACAGAACAGCGTGAAGTTCCTTCAAGAGTCAAAAGCAAAACAGTGATGCCACAGATACATACATAATTAACTCATTTGTCTTTTATTTATTTCTACAATTTTTATTAATCCAATTTTAAAAAGCTGTTCCAGTCTGACACGGCCCTCTTCAGTAGTTTACGGTTTTCTTTAAAGCACAAGATGTCATGAAGAAACATCTGGCATTATGACACTGCCCCTCATTATTGTATAATAGCTCTGAATACAAATACACAATTTTTTGTCATTTAAAAGACCAGACCAGAAGCCAGCATGTCTTTTACCCTCATCCAAAAACAGTGCATCTCTTCTATGGTGTCCCTCATTTAGAGGCAGAGAGTGAAGATGGTGAAGCTCTGCTTTGAGTGAACTGGATCTTAATAAGGTCTTGTTTTGAAGTGTCAGACCATATTGCTGGACAGTAATTAGGGTGGCATAAGACCATGGATTGCAATACTTGTTAAACTGCTATTGTTTTTTATATACATAAAGAAACATTTTCTAGTCGTGGAAACGCTCATTTTAGCACCTATGTTATGAACATGAGCTGACCATGAAACGTGACACTTAGCAATTTGGCTTCTTTAATCTGCTCAACTGCCTCCTGTTCCAAAAAATGCACCGCCTGTGATCTGTCCTGAGAGCATGCCTCGAGCTGAGTGCAAGAGTCTTTGAGATGTTAAACTTTAACCTGCGCTCCAAAACCCTTTGATCAACTACCATCAAGTCTTCTTGAAGCATTTTCTGAAGTTCCTTTGCATTTTCAGCATATATTTACGTTGCAGTGGCATCAAAGCACATAGCAAAGCGTGTTGTGTAAAGATGGAATAAGGTAGAGTTCTTAACAGCTCCTCTGGGGAATTCCATATTATAACGACTTTAAAGTTGACACAGTGCCATTAAACATAAAATGCTGCTAACTGTTGAATAAATTACTCGTTCCTGGGTTCTACAGGAAGTCTAGTTTGTTTTAATTGTTTCACTCCTGCCACTTAGCGATGCTTCCAACTCACTAGACATCCGTGGACTATGGTTACTATGGTAACTGAGAGGCACTATATACAACAACAAATCTGACATTCGTTGCACAAATGGGCGCTTCTTTTACAATAAATTAAACCAAGTTGCATTCCCTGACAGCATGTGACTTTTTTTGTATCATAGTTAATTTTCTATCACAGACACACAAAACAGCTTTTATTAACCCAACTAACTCTCTTTGGATTAGTTTTGAGTTCAACGTCTTCCAGTATGCAGTAATTGATAGTTTGACTAGCACTGAATTTTCTTACCACTTGTTGAGCTGGTCTTGTCTGATTTCGTGTTTTTCCAGTTTTACGTTTTTCCAGTTTTATTTTGATCTTTAATTAAAGCAGTTAGAGTAAATGACACCTGCCTACCAGTCATGTCTGCATTTGGTTCCTCCTTCTTGCTCCAACCTTGGCAAAACATTATCACGTTGAGTGTTTTAAATCTAGCACCTGGTTACATTTGAATTGGATACCATTGTCTTATCAGAGAGCTAAATATAAAAGCAGACAGCAGGCAGTAAGCTTAGATTAGCAAAGGATAGAGGCAGGCATTAAACCATGGTAAAATAACTACCTTTACTGCCATTTCTAAGACTTATTAGTAATGAATATAGTTTCATTTATTTATTTGATACACTAGGAGCCATTCAGTACGACACAAATAAAAAAAAAGGATTGTGTTTGTTGTTGGCGTCATTTGTTTTTATGTTTTGTGAGATAAGAGCTCACAGTGCTTTTTAAAGAGTGACAGTCCATTAGAAAGAAGGAGAGGTGCAATGATTTCTCAGCCACAAGACTCTTGTTCTGTCTGGGAGCTTTGTTTTCACTTGCTGATTACTTTAGCTCTTCACCTACTTTTTGGATTAGGTTTGGGCACTCTAACTATGTGGTTAGGTTCCCAGACAAGCCTCCAAAATGTTAAACTTTAGTGCTGCCTGGGCCACGATGCCCAACGTCAAAGGATACCTTGTCTGTAGAACTGAGATGGCTTTAACAAACAGCAGTACTTGACGATGTGAAAAGCATGATGTAGGACTTTGCATTATGAGATAGGCCACACCTCCTAACAAGCAGCAGAGTTTTGTCTTTGTGTTCAAAGATGGAGTGGTGTTTCTGTACAGTAATTGTATAATAGCAATCATTTTGGTGCTATTTTCCTAAATTGGACCGTATTGGGTAAATGCATGTGTTGGAACATAACATTTCAAAACAGTTTCAACAAATTGCAGCTCGACAAATCTAAATGATGGACAGCACCCTCGCTCTGCTTGCATAAATTAATACAGAGGTTTACGGCACTCACAAAAAAGACAAGCTCAGTCGAGCACACATACACATATTAAACATTTACACACTCAGTCCTGTGCATATATTCATAGACCTTGTCTCTGTCCCCTGCCAACCAACACACACACACACACACGTGCACGCACGTGCACTAAATGTACAAGGAGCTGATGCTGATGAAGCAGTGGCAGCCTTTGGGCTGAGACAGATGATGGATGGATGGGAGTAGATGACTGTGTTGGGTGGCTGCTCGCTCCCTTTCTTTTTTCTCTGCCAGCCCTCCCCATAAAGTATCCCTCGCTTTGTCCCTCCTTACTTCTTGCTATACCCTCTCTCACTCTGTCCTTTCCTCCCTTCACACCTTCGTCCAAGTCTTTCTTTTTCCCTGCTGATGAGTGATGGATTGAGGATCTGTTCTGGCTCTGTGCTTCCTTCCTGACACTAAAGGTGTCAGCATCTCCACTGTTTGGTTCCTGTACAATTTATAAGACCATTGTTGGACAAGAGGATGAGGAAACCAGACATGTGCTGCAATGGACAAAGAAGGAGAGAGGGATAGAAAATCTAAGATAGATGAGGACAGACAGAAGAAGGGGAAGAAAGTAGTGGGGCAAGAGGAGGTTGCCACAGTGGGCTGAAATGTCACTGAGCAATGAGGAGGAAATTTGCCAAATGTCCATACAATTTATACCCAAGAATCTCCAAGTTAATGATCTCTAAAGCTGCAATTTATTTCAATTTTAACTTAAAAACTTTCATCATAAGTGTAAATCTAACCTTAGCAACATGGGAGACTTTATGTCGAACCACACTGATGCTGCGGTTGCTCCAGAAAGTGACAACCGATTAAACTGTGTGAGATGGTTATTAGGATTAGCACAAAGTGATTAAATGTTAATGATATAATGAATAATGGGCCCCCACTCATTCTCATTAGCAACCAGTTGATAACTGTATACAAGGCCACTGTGAGCTGTAGCAGAGAGGGAATGAAGGAAAGAGGAAGCATAATTAGAAAAGGGGGTGAAAAACTTGAGAAATAAGGGAAGGAGTGGAAGACGCTCGGCAAAGGGGTTGTAATAATACTACTTAGTTGTGATTTTTGGATTAGCAAACACTACGGACACTTTAATCCAAAGTCAAACAGGCCTGCCTCAGTATACTTCCTGACATTTAGTACAGACCCTGGAGCAGATTGTAGAACTATGCAGCTGCTCTGGGAGCACAAAATCATTTCCTGAAAATGCCCAGAAATCTGAGACACCACCGATAACAAAAGTAGTCTTCTCAAAAACAGGATTTTAATAGAGGGTTAGGTCCTGTTTCTTACAAGCATGCGCTATTTCTTGCGAATAACCCATTTATATATTTATTTCTTTATTCGTTTGGTTGTCCCGAGGAGCTGAATTATTCAATATAACCAGAGCACCCCCAAGTGGTGAGAAAATGGAACTGCTGACTGTCCAGGGGGATGAGCATCACTTCGGGGACCTGGCAGCAGAGCACAGGAGTAGATTAAGGGGGGAAATTATTTATAAATTTCCCTTCAATTATTTATTAAGCAATTCCTCGCAGTGTTTACTAAGGGGTTATTAAATATTATGCTGCTAAGCTACTCAAAAGACAGAATCGTCAGAGGACATCCCGGGATACTTTTAATTCCAGTGCTCAGAGAATTTAGAGCTTCTAAAACCAGCATTCAGAATGCAATTAAAATAGGGGCTGCTCTGTCAGTTTTCATACCATTTCACTTTTTCATCTCTCTCTTTCTTTATTTTTTCATTTTTGTTCAGCCAGAAAAACTTGCAGTCTCTAGCCAGACACCGTGTGTGTGTGTGTGTGTGTGTGTGTGTGTGTGTGTGTGTGTGTGTGTGTGTGTGTGTGTGTGTGTGTGTAGACACACGTGTGTATGTAAGGCTGAGAGGTAATGGAATAACTGCAACTCAGCTAATCCGATCTGTCTCTCCTTCTCCATCTCCAGTCCCTGTCTTCCTCTCTCTCTCTATCACACTTGCTCAGTACACTAAGAGACAGACCCCTGTCTGCTCAATAGTTTGTCCAGATACTCGCTCCAGGCTTAGCCAGGAAGAGGTAATGTAGCCTTGGATTTTTTTTCCTTCTCGGCTTCCACAATAAGCCATCTAATAGACTTTGTTAAATGGGAAAGGGAGCAGGAGAGTAACTTTAACCACACAGTACAACATTACGGAGTCAAAATTATTCTGGCTGACATGTATAACACACATTCAGATACATGTCCACACAGATACACTGGTCAGTCCCACAGACACTTCCGTTGTAAAATGAGATAAAAATTTACAGAGAAATGGACACGTTCATTCCAGTATGCTTCTTAAGCCACTCTTCCTGCCTGTTCCCCCCTTGTTACATCTGCTAAGTGCCCTCATGAGAAAACAAAAATTGTATATATCTGTCTGTGTGTGCGCGGCAGTTTGCTCTAGGTGGATCCCTTTACCAAGAGAGAAAAAGGGGGAAAACACAAAACCATAGCTATCATCCCTCTCCACTCTCACCCACACTCTCAGCCTGTCTTGCTTCTCCTCCCTTGCTTTGCTTTGCTATCGTGTGTGTCTTACTCAGTGTGTGTGTGTGTTTGTGGTTGTGTGACCAGAGGGTAGAACACTTCAGAAAGCAGAAAAAAGACCAAAAAGTTGGAGGAGAAGAAGCATGAAGAAGCATCCAAAGAAGAAAAAGAGGAAGTGTCATCTGCTTTATAGTTCTGGGAATCAGAGCTGGAAACTAGATTAAAGAGTGTGCTTTTGTTTGTGTGGTACCGTGTCAATTTGCGTTGTTAAGATTTACTTTTTATGGCACATTTGCACACACAGCTCAATCAACACACCCCAGAAAAGACTCGCAGTGTCACAGTTTTCCATGGAGCAACACTGACCCCTGCTGAATGCAGCCTATTTTTTAAATACACCGCATCACTATTGGTATGACGCTCCTAATCGCAGCATTTCGTACCGAGCCTGTGAATACCTAGACTCGAGGAATAAGAAGGCTTTCAAGAACAAAGTAATGAATGTGGCTAGCAATAGTGATGTAAGGTAATGTAACAGACAGGCCTAATTGAGAAAAGCAGATGTGAGATGTCCAGTACAGAAATGAGTCCTTTGAAGGGAATTTCCTGCTGTTCTATCTGTACAATCAAGGATAACTGGATTGAGAGGTTTATCTTTTTCTTTGAAATTATTAATTTTGACTCTATCAATTAGATTGACTTTGAGAGCAAATGTAGAGAATTGGTAGGAAAAGACTTAATTTCCTGTATTTTCTCTCTAAACAGTTAAACCCCACATTAATTATTCTTGGTGTTATGGGTATAACTTTTAATCACTTCTCAGTTTCCTTCTAATGTAATAATTGTTCTGGAGCACGAGCTGATATATTTCTCACGACATTTTCAAATGTCAGTTTGGGGATTCAGCAGATGTTGGCTGATTGAGCCTAATGTCAGAGTGCTTTTGATTTCTGTCGGCAAGTGCGTGTGTCCAAGTCATTGAGTCAGACAGGTTTGCTAAAATACCAGTAAAACAGAGTTTTCTTTCACTGGTTTGTCAGGGGTTTTCTCCTGGATACTGTAGGATCTTTACGTCTTAGTATAAAGTCCCTCAACCCTTTGTAAATAAACCTGAACTGAACTGGGTGTGAATCGATGGAGCCGGTTTTAGTTAAATTTTTAAGAAAGGTTTTTAGCTTCACCACTGCACTTCACCAATTCCACCGATGCTCCGTTCTTGTGTTGTTTTGGGAAAATAATAATTGTAATAATTAACACTGCAAGCAAGCATTTTGCCCATAACAAAATAGGGAGGCAGGTGCTTCTTTTCAGCCCTGAGTAACGCCTGGAGTCATCCTCTCAGGACTCCAATAACCTCCAGTAAAAAGATGAGGTAGAAAGCCACCTGAGAGTCAAACTCAAGGAAGAAAAATGCTTGACAATCACATAGCTGCTGCTAGTTAACTTTATTGCTCTGCGCACAAGGTAATAACTGAACGTGATTCAGATGGATGAATTCATCAGCTCATTTTTTCTTTCTTCTGCCATGTCAGAATATATTTAAAAGGGTTTCTGTAAGAAAAATGACCTGAAACTTACCTGGCTGAAATTATACCTTTGCACAGAGCTCTAACATCTCGTTGAGCCGCATGTTGTATATTCAAACTGACTGAACCTTCAGAAAGTCTTGTACAAGAAGTATGTTTTTATAGAATTATTTCAAAGGTGAGTATTACGGTATACATTTTTACTTATTCCTTGACATATCTCAGTATCTACTGGACAGAATGGTACAAAGCCATTCTTGGTTATAAGATGCTGAATTTTTTTTTTTCTTTTGAGGTTTTGAGAGAAATGTTTCAATAATTGGAGTCTAGCTTGGCATTCAATCTGTCAAACACATTGAATCCCCTCTAAGAATACATCACTTTTAATGTCCTCTGAATAGTTCCATTCATTATCAAATACCAGCAAAACTAATACAATTCCAGTGAATTTTGGCCAGGTTTTGTGTTTAGAGTTGAATAGAAAGCATAAGCATAGCAACATGCCTACTACGATGCTGAACCATTTATTTTCATTGAAGACAGGTTTTAAACTATACATCTTTCATTTTTAGCATTAGTAATTGATCATTTTTACCATCAGTGGAAGTATTTTAAATCTTGTAATGTTGCATGTTTAACATTGGAAGAAACAAAAGGAAAAAAGGGAATCCTGCCCTTTTAACTGTAAATATGCTGAAATTCCCTATGTCACAAAAGTACCAGTTTCATCTTCTTGACAAGGACACAGAAAAAGTAGTTAAACATAGTTTAAAAAACTGCTGCAATGATGACAGTTGCAAACGAAGCCACTTTGCTTTGAGTGTGTGGGAGGATATGTGCCTACAGCTAAACAAGGGGAAATGACAAGTCAAAATGGCACTTTTTAAAGTCCTGGATCCTGCTATAGGCAGATTTTCAGATGCTACCAGAGTTATATTATGATTGGCTGTGGGTGGAGAAACGTGTGCAGGGGGAGCCGAGAAGGAAGGATGAGGGTCAAAGAGGTGAGAGCGAGAAAACAAAGGAGGTGGGGAAGAGGGAGCTGTGCAAATGAGGACAAAGAGAAAACAAGAAAGATCAAGACATAGAATATAGCATGCGGATAACATGATGAGAAAAACAAATGAAAATGGACTTTAAAGGAATAGACACGGCCAATCTGTACCACGCTGGACTCCGATGAGTATTGACAAACATCGACAAACACTGTTTGAACAGAGAATGCTTTCAAAATCAACATTAGACAATTAACAGCGCTCCAGAGAAGACAAAGAAATCTTCAATGTCCAAATTACCAGGTATGGATTAATGAAACTGCAGAACAACCCAGTGTGATGGAGGAACTCTCTGGACTTCTCAAATGTGCAAATACTGTGAACATGACAACATGACAAAATGCATTAGCAAAAAGGAACAAAGGTCAGGAAAAAACTACATAATGGTGCCAAAATTGATCCACATCATCTCTCGCAGCATTTGCACAAACTGTACTGTGCTTAATGATCATCTGATTGACAACAGAGTGGGAACATATTTTGTATCCGAACTCAGTGCATTCAGATTCAAAACTAAAATGTTCCAATGGAGGTCTGGTGCTGGATCGAGAGTATGTCTAAATATGTGACAATCAACAATCAACAGGCGATTACAGCTGCTCTATTATTATTTAGTAGTAGTAAAATGGTTGAAGTGCTTCCTCCTAAATTATCACACTGGTCACAAATATCACCTCTTCAACACCACCGAATCAAACCTCGCAAAGTGGCAGGCCTCAGCTGGTTGAACATGATTTGATTAGCTTTGCTAATATGAGCAGGTCCTGGATTTTTATAACAAATGCTGTCATGATCTTTGTTACCATACAATCTTTTAAGAAGCTGAAGCAGTTAAAACATCTTTTTGCAGAGTCACAATGGTGACCTAATACACCCTTACAGACTTGATAGCTTTGATTTGGAGTCATATTTCTGTCTTTGTTACAAATAAATGCCCATTTTATCCTGTTTTAACTTCTACTAATTCCTGCAAACAAATGTTAGCCAACATTTATTAGGACAGTTTGCAAAATTCCTAGTTTGTAATAATTATTTGGAGGCTAACCACTAAAACAAATCCCAACACTGTTAACAAAACGTTTTCCAGTTTGTTTCAGGAATTTTCGATTTCCCAGGTCTGTTTGTTGATCTTTTGCCATTTCAGTATACAGTGGAGGAAACAATCGTTTCATATCCTGTTGAATTTGTAAGTTTGGTTTGCAGATATCTCAGGAAGTATTTTGGTGCACAGAAATGCTCTAAATCCTACGCTTCTTGGCTGCTGTTCACGTTGAAGCTTCACTTTAGTTTTGGGCTGATCCGCTACCTTTCCCATAACCATCTTCACGCTATGAAGCAATTTCTTGCATGGAGCTCTTGATCGCAGGTGATTCACAATCATTTCTTCCATTTCTGAATAATCATACCAACAGCTGTCACCTCATCACGAAGCTTCTTGCTGATGTCTTGTAGCCCATTCTACGGATTGATTGTGATCTGTGTGTCACTTGGGCACACAGCAAATCTGTAGGAGCCAGAATTTTGCCTGGGTGGTCGGGGGATCAAATACTTCTTACACTCAATGAGATGAACAAATCAATTTGTAACTTTTAAATAATGTAATTTTTTCTGGATTTTTGGTTGTTATTCTGTCTCTCTAAATTCAAATGAAACTGTTGTAAAAATGTATTTATAAGTGAACAAAGTCACAAATTCAGCAGGGTGTCACATAATTATTTCCCACAATGTATAGCGGCACAATAGTGTATATGGAACTGACAATAATGGTGGCCAAACACAGAGAGTTATGCAACAGCTAACTCTGGGACCTACCCATATCTACAACAGTTTATTAGATTGCTTCTAATATATTCAGGGACAAAATTGAAATTATTACTAAGAGAAAACACTCCAGGCTCTCTGATTCATTTCAGAGACCTTGTTAACAAGGATCTTGTTGACCCTGTGCTACTCTTGTCCATGCCAAAGGTTCTCTCCTGACAAATACATAATGAATGGACATGTAAGGTGCTTAATATTACAAATGTAGTACATTGTTAGTCTTTATATAAAAGGACTATTTAGGCTTTTGGATTTATTCTTGCATAGAAACAGATTTTTCTATTATTGTGACTGTCCACTGCAGGTGCACTTACACACACAGCAAGACAGGTTATGTGATTTCAGAAGCTTTTGCCAAACTTGAAGGACAAACAAGCATCACACTGTGAGGATGGCAGGGGAAAGAGTCAAGCACAGTTATTATTACACACACAAAGAGCGATGAAAGATGTGCATGCCTGTCCATTGGCAATGACAGTGTGAACCCCACCAGTATGCACGATTCTCCATCCCTTTCTCTCTCTCTGCACACAGGTGTAGAGAGAAACAGACAAATAGAAATAAATTCCTTTTTCATAAATAACTCCCAATGTCAAGTGGCTGCTCTCATTGCTATTCACTGAGTATCAAAGAGAAATGCTTATTTGTGTCCAGTAACAGTAATCACAGTGTGTTTTATCTTACCACCAGGAGTTCTCCTGAATGTCGAAGCTCCTCAGAGCAACAGTTATTTGTCAATGAAGAGAATACTTCATCTAAAATGCAGTGAATGCTTCTTATTCGGGAACATGAAAACAAGTTCTTGAAAAAGGATCTTCTTTCAAAGATGCTTTTATGTATGCCAATCAACCACAACATAGAAACCACTGAAAGCAGAAGTGAATAATAACATTGATCAATTTCTTACAATAAAATGCTCGTCATTCATTTGGATGTTATTCTGTCCAGTACCGCCCACACTGTTGCAGATCAGCAGTGTAGCAATGGCACTTCCCAAAGGCAGTGGCCTCCCCAGCAGGGCGAGGCGCTTCATGAAACTACTACAACTGATCCAAACTGCCAAGATCTCAATCTGACTGCACATGCATTGGATGCTTGGTGAAAAACACGATCCGCAAAGGACCTACCCCGTAACCCACTGTGCCCATAGGATTTGTCGCCAATGTTCCAGTGCCAGACTCCACAGTACATCAGTCAGTCAGAGCTATGTCGATGGCATAAGGAAGACTTACACAATATTAGGCAGGTAGTTACATAAAAATAAATGTAAAAAGTGAGAGGGCTTTTTTAATCACCGATTAAAGCTAAACACTCATGTTAGCATTCTAAAATACTTGCAGTAACAATATCATTATGCTGATGCTTTTTACACCGGTCTTTGTCACTGTGCAGCAGGCTAGCATGTAAACATTAACAGCCCCTAAACACAAAGCACAGACTAGGCTGATTGGAAAGATTCTTCTAAAAACAAAACAAAAAAAACAAAACTGAAGAGAATGAAATTTTGACCTGACAATTCACATGTTATTGCATCGTTATAGAAAAGCCCACCTGCAGAGCAAAACAAGGCTTTCCTCTGCAGCCTGACAGTTATTTCAGATTTGTTTAGCCAAAATGCTGGATAGCTGTTAAATTGGATGCACTAACAAGCCACTTGGTTTGCTCACAAGCACAGAGTACGGAAAATAGTGCACACAGCTCCCCTAGTCCTGTTATAAAATGCCATCTCACATCAATCCTCCCCTTCCGCAGCAAGACAGGTTGTCAGTGTGTTGATCTTTTAAACTGACTTCGATTAGATTTATGCCATTTAATCTTATTGAAAATATTACCGCCTTTTCACTACAGCTCCAGAACTAGCTAATATTTGCTAATTAGCACTCACCATTGATTGGACAGTGAAGAGTTTTGCGTCATTCACCTCTCACGGCAGCTTTATTGGCCTATCCAAATCAAAAATAGAGATAGGAAACCAATGGTTAACATCATAGTGGCTACATCCATCTTTCATATGCAGTCTATGATTGCACCAAGCATCAGTGTAACCCCCTACTCAATAAAGCAGTTGCCAAAGCAATTCATTTGAGCCCACAAATGGAGGCCTTGAAAAGGAAAGGTCAGGAGTTCATAAAAGACACGGGGATTGATCTTTAGAGAAAAAAATCTATATAAATGTTGGTAAGGCAATGGTTGTAAGGTAGGTGTTGAAATAGGAAAGAAATAAAAGAGAGTGATGCGTTGTGCAAGCATTTCTCAATTGACTGAACATCATATCTAAAAGATTCAAGTCCGGTTTTCTATCAGATTTGAGTCTCTATGGAAACTTTCAAGATCTTCCCTTGAGTATTCTCTAAATGTTTGTGAATACAATCCAAGTTCATATTATATTAGGTAAAAAAAAAAAAAGTAGTCCCAACACCATAGCTGTACTTATTCATTCATATGAAATAAAATTAAAGAAGGGAAGCTCAAGGTCTTCAACTCCCATCTTAATAGCTTCAGTGGTCTTACAACAATGAATGTTAAGACATTAAGACAGGGTGTGTGAAGTAGGTTGAGACATTTTAGAGAAGCAGGTGGAAAAAAAGAAAAGAGAGTAAAGAGAGAAGAAATTAATAATGGATGTTACTCGTTTTAGTGTGACAGATTTAATAAATGGTCATCAAAATGTTATAACTAAAAGATTAAGCTCCTTTCTGAATATTTTCATAATGAAGACGGGCTGAGCATGCTGAAAGTATTCTCTAAATGTTTCTGAATACAGAGCCTGCTCACACCACCTTAGTAGAAATAAGCTAAAGTAGTGCCGTGTTCATAGTTGCACTTACTCTTTAATACACAAAGAATAAGGTCTCAAGGTATTAAACTTACTTCTAAATAGTTTTAGTGAGCATACAGGGAAGAATAAACAGAGAATAAAGGTTGGAATGAAAAACACATCATACTGCTTTTATGAAATATGAAGGTGTGATGAATAAGGCACACTAGCCTTGCAACATGACATAAATCTTCCACAGTGCGCTCCTTGGCCTGGAAAGTACTGAATATAATATTGAAATGGTTTGACACAGCAGAGAAAAGTGGTTTTTTCCTTTTATTGTATAGCTATCACTTCAGCTATGAAGACAAATTATTAGGTCCAGTCAAGCACTTCTACTGTTATTGTAACTGGGTACGAGGGGGTGACAGTTCTTTGAATATTAGGAATTTTACATGTCTTCTTTATGGTGCATTCTTTCAGCATCCTTTCTAGTCAGATTCTTTCAGATTCCTTTGTCTCTCTCCCAGCGTTGGGAAGTGTTAACAGGCTCAAGGTAATGAAAGGCAGTAGCTAAAAAACACTTGACAATGCTGAATTACATGTTACAATTAGAAACATATTAAAAACAGTGGGAGATGGAAAGGCAAGGCCAATATGAGTCTTGAATGTGAAGGAATATACTACAGGCTTCTGTGTATTTAAGCTTAAATAAAGGGCTGTCACAATAAAGTGTCATTTACTGTGGAGGAAGAATAGCTTTTCTGGAAGAGTATGAAAGGCTTCTTGCCCTATTGATTTTGTGTGATGTAGTATTTTGCTATAACCTACATCTGGTTCACTTATTTGACTATTATGCCCTTTTCTTGAACAACTCAACAATAGCAGGTGACTACATTTTTTGACAAGTCCTCCAACTTAAATATGGCAATATACAGTTTGTTTATGCTCTCCAGTTATCATTTGTCCAAACATGTCTTAAAAGATTCACTGGGCGATCATGTCTTTGGTTCTTGAAAGCCACGAAAGGATCAGATCAGCCAAAGAGTCACAGACGAAAGGAGACATGGTGATGTGGTAATAACAAATGCAAGGACTTACAGCTTACACCAAAAAAAAAAAAAATTTTTTAGGTGTTTTATACTACAGGTGAACTCACACAGCAAGAAAAACTAGGAAAAAAACATTTGCAGGCCAGGGCAAGAGAAAACATTACACAAAGGTTTAAGGTAGCTTATTATTTAGACCAAGATACCAGACACCAAGGCCATTAAAACAAAAATGGAAAATACCAAAATATTGTGCATACAGATGTGCTTGATTTTTCTATTATGCTACAGTCACACTAGGAAAAACAGTGACTGGAGACAGCAGCCCGATGAAAATATTTGCCACAGGGCCCTGGTCTGTGACCAATCACAGTTTGCTGTCTATCACCAGGTGACCTGCGCAGTCACATTGAGATTGAAAGTGGTTGTTCACAGGTGGAGAGTGTTGCACACTCAGACTTTAAAGAACCAGCTGGTTGTCACACAACTTGCAATTGTTTGCAAAGTGCAACGAATTTCAATAAAATCCACAGTCCATCCCTGATTTTTTCTAGTTGCCATCAGTCTCGGTCCTATTTTTGCTCTAGTTTGACTGAGCTATTGATTAGTAAAAATATAAAGAAATTATTATTACTCTGCTTTTAGGAAGAGGAAGGTGACAAAATTAAAAGAAACAGCAGCACAGTAGCAGTGATGACTTTATTTCCAGTAGATCAACTTACTGCAGGCCTTGTTGTATGATTTCTTTATTTTGTTTTAAGCATTTAAAGTCAGAGGCAGAGAGCCCACATTTTTCCTTTTATAACCACCATTACAGGCCTTTGTGGGGGCGATTACAAATGTTCTATTTCTAACTACTGGACAAACAAAAATGTATTTCATGCTTGAATAAATGAAACTCTACTTAACAAAATTGGTTTAAAAATGCCTGTATTATAATTCTTGTCTTGGCTCAGAACAAAATCTCTGTGGAGGGTTGCCAAAAATTTCCTCCTCTCTTAGAGTATGTTTTCTTTTTTAAGCCAAATCAAGCTTAACAGCATCCCAGCTTGAAGTGGCTTTCTGATGTCACCAAAGAAAAAGTCAGAAAGACCAACCTGCACACAAAAAAAACAGCTTCCTATTCTTCATAAGGCTACCAACTTAGTGAGGCTTATGATTCCCTGACAGGCCAGAAAGAGTCTCAGAAGAAAGGGAAACGTGTTCAAATCAAAGTGCAAAAGAGAGCAGGAAAGGGAAAATGAAAGTATAATTGTGGTTTGGTCTTTTTTGTATTTGCTTTTTTTTTTTTTAACCAAATAAACATCTTCAGAAAAACCGCTCCAGCGATGGAATTAAAACAAAACGATGACTCATACAAGAGTGTTTGAAATGCACAGGCAGAAGGTAAATGTTTGCGCGATGCATACAGCAATGTTTAGGTATACTGAGCACCGCACACATTAAACAGACTAGTTTCACAATCCCCCACAAACAACAAGCACTATCTATTATGCTCACTGCAGATTCAGCTAAGTAGGTATTTCTTAATTACACCTCACAGATAACTTCTCTTGTTATTGGGTTCAAACATCAAAAAGGAAAGATACCATCTGTAGACAGAAGCACTGCTTTAATCCACATTTTCTCTCTCCACACACACGCATACATGTACACAGGGAGAAAGAGATCAGCCTCTGCTAGCTTTTTCCTCACCTTGAAAATAAGATTAAAATGTTATCGGTTGTACCACCTGCACAGTGCTGCTCTGACTTCACAGATACAACACATCAAGCCTAATCCTGAGTGTAAGATATGTAACACACACAGGTCTGGGCACACAGATCAGCTAAAACGGTGCTTACAGACACTTGTTACCACAGATTGTTACTCTAATGGAGGGGTTTTCTTTGAGAGCACCTCTATATTACATTATTACATTAGAAGCAAGACAAGAGGATATGAAATCCTCAAAAAAAAAAAAATCTCTGCCCAGGTCCTCGTTGCCACAATAAGTTTGGTGAAAGGATGACACCAAGTGTTCAATTAAGATACTGCAATATTGTTTAAAACCTTAATATCAGGGTTATTTTAAGGCTTTTTTTTTTTACTTAAACAGATACAATTGATGAATATTTAAATATGAATGTAGTCATCACTTATGATACATCGTTTTTCAAAAGAAGCACTTTTCAAGACATTGGTAAAGAAGTCTTTGCATCTTGAAATATCAGATCATCGATCATTGTACAATTTTAAAACTAAGAAAGGATGCATCTACATTAAAACTGTTTCGTTACCGGAGGGAGGGTTCTTAGATCAAATGATTTGGGCCTATATTTATTAACAAGTTTTAAAGAACAACTTGGAACCATTTATCAACTTACTCTGCAGGCAGTAAACTCTTGTATTAAAAATTATCTGCTAAAAATTAATTAAATGGATGTTCTTCTAGATTATGGCAATCGCGACTTTTCTTACTTTATGATGTTATCAAGAGGGCAGCGCTGTTAACACATTCCCTCAACATGAAAGATCCCCGGTACAAGACTGGGAGGAGGCACAAATCCCCGAGAGCAGGCACAAATCCCTGGGAGGGTTGCATCAGGAAGAGCATCCAGCTTAAAACTCAGTGCCAAATCAAATATGTGGCTCCATCTGCTGCAGCAGCGCCTTACAAATAAGAGAGCAGTCATAAGCTTTTTCTTTATGATGTAATTTTCCTCATTAAAAACAAAATCTAAGCACTGATCAATAAACTTAAATTTTTTTAATGCAAAGTTGGCATAACGAGAGGTATAGCAAGAAAAGTTGCTGTTGCAGACATTAACTACTGCACCTTAACCAATTTTAGTGTCCTGTGGATATCTGTTTAAATTTGTAGTATTTTGCAAAGTATTTTTAGAGCTAGGCTTACCAGTTTGAATAAATGTTACAGCTGATAAATGTAGGCTCTGATCCATGGCTGATCCATGTGCTCACAGGCACATTGCAGTTGACACAACACAATAATATGCATATTCACAGTCTTTTACTGACCAAATGTATCAACTGCCCTATCTTTGTACACGGTAAACGACACAACACATTCTTGTTTTTCATCCTTTAGTAACATTAAAACATTTTTATATGTTATTAGATTAACCTTTCTGGAATGCACAGTATTATTCAGGACAAACACTTTAAAAGATAAATATACAAAAAGAAGGCCTGCAAAGCCTCACACAGACTGTATTGCAACACAACATAGCTCTGTAGCATCTTAAAGAAATACACATATTTAAGTTGTCCTTTCATGATGTATGTTGGATCTCTATCAACATGCATCAAGGTGGATCCTCTGGTGGCGTTTGAGATTACATTTCTGGGTAAAGCGTTTGCCACAGGCCAAGCAGCAGTATGGTCTCTCCCCAGTGTGGACGCGACGGTGTGCTTTAAGGTTGCTCAGCTTGGTGAAACTCCGGCCACAGAGCGAACAGCAGAAAGGCCGCTCACCTGTGTGAGTCTGCAGGTGGGCCTTCAAGTTACTGGGGTGGGGGAAGCACTTCCCACACTGCCCACAGCGTAGGAGATGCCTTGGAGCGGCGTGAGACTGAGAGTCTGGATGGGTACCAGGACTGACGTGGTGAGAGTTTGCAGGATGGTGCTGGGACCTGTTGCTGACCCAGGAGTCTCCAGTTCGGTTAAGGGTTGATGTCTGTTTGTCACCCAGGTGAACTCGCTGGATTGAGGATACAGCAGGAGATGCTTTGGATGTGGAGGGAATTCTTTGAAGGTTATTTAAGTTTACAACTTGAGAGGGAGCTATAGACAGTGCCGCAGCGGTACTGTTCGAGAGAGTGTGAGACGGCTTTTTCATCGGTCGGTGGAGATGCTGTAAAGCGGCTTGCAATCTGAAACCTGAACCGGCTTTGGAATGTAGCTTCATAACCTCTTGCACAGCAGCTTTTTGAGAAATGTGGTTTAGTCTGTGTGCTTCTGAACTCACCTTGTGCTGCTTTACTGAACATGAAAAAGAGGACATACCTGAGTTTGTTATTTTCTTTTCTATATGCTCACCTTCCTCACATCCATCAGAATCAAGAATGACTTCCTTCTTGATAGTCAGGCCTAAAACATCACTGTTTTTTAGTCTTGCCTTAGGGGACCCTGAGGATGAAATTTTATCTCTGCCTGGGGTAACCTGAATGTCCGCTCTGACAGAATCAGACAGCTCATGTTCTCCTTTAGTTTTGACTGGATCACATTCCGTTTCAGCTCCAAGTCTGGGATTCTGCAACAACTCAGCGCCTGTGACAGTCAAGCCAGCCCAACTGGTATCTATTTCCAAAGATGAAACACGCGGTCGATCTGTAGACAGGTGTTTTTCCTGCCTGTCTTCAGGAAAGCCATAACCCAAAGCTATCTGTGGGTCTTTCTTCATGACATTTCTCAATAATTCCTCACTGTTTTCTTCAGTCTGTTTGGGTTGTACCTGAACTGTTCCACTCTCGTTGTCTGATCCAGGTCCCTCTTCATCTAGAAAATAAGGATTTTTCTTTTAAATTAAGGAAATAAAAATAAATTAATTAAAAAATGCAACAATGTTATTGTTTCTTTCGGGCCTGAATCCCTTTTAGGTGCACTGAGGTAAAGTGGACAACAAAAATTCTATCTTCATTTTGGAGATAGGGACCAGTCACTTTAATGTCATCTGCTAAATTTGAAAAGCCATTTTATTCTAATTTACTTTACTGAATTTATTATACTAACGTGTTGTATTATATCCTACTATTTGCATTATATTCTATTGTACTTTATTAAGATTTTTACCTTATATTGGCTACTTTGTTTTATCATATTAGGCTTATTGAAGAAAAAAACCTAATCTTTTCTGTTCTAGGTTGTGTTTAATGTTTTGCATGGTGAAATAAAGGAATTTCCCAACTTTTCAGATGTTTAAAGTCTATTTGAGCATATATTAGCATGCACATCATTGTAGGTACCATTAATGCTGGAAAAACACCAACTGCAATCCAGGCGACACCTTTCTGAGAAAATGTCTTGCTTAATTCAACATTCTTCATGTAAAAGAGTCTGAATGTTAAAGTGGCCTACCTGCAACACAAACCTGTCATGTACTGGGGTGGGGAGTTTGAACAACAACAAAGGATGTGGAAATTGCCTAGTGGTCACTGTTTGTCTGGCAATTAATTTTCCCCAGGAGCCACAGAGATAAAAAAAAAATTATATTATTTATTAATGTTGAGCAGAACTGAGTTGAGGTTAACAAGTCAAGCTCTCCTAAAGCAAAGAATAAATTATAAAACAATGTGTCAACCATAACACCTGCTTGAGGGGATAGGGAGCTATATCACGGCACACGGTAGGGTCGAGAAGGTATGTGTTTGTGCAATAAATAATGCTTAATGTTCCTTTACTATGGACGGACTGAAAGAAAGATAAGATCCTAACAATACGTACCACTACAGTTCCACCCTCCCATATGCACAGAGGAGCAAGATGGCTGACTAACTTCTTCCTCCTTCGTAGCAACAGCTGATCTCACATCCTTTTCTTCTGCTGCCTGAAGACATACAGTGCATAAAATACTGTGAATATCTACTGGTTCCATTTCACCAATTTTTAGAGCCATTATCGATACTGTTGTTTTTTTATACAACATTACAGCTCTTATAGCACTTGAAATGTGTCCAGAAGCACCCAATAAAATGCAGATACATAAAGAAGATGATGATTATTTAATGTCAGTACAACATAACTTTGCTCTGGTAGTCATTTAATCTGGCTCACCTCTGGCTCCCTTTCAGGGCTCTGTGCAGCTGTAGCACTGTCTGCCTCTGGTAGCGACTCTGATGTGTCTTCTAGTCTGCAGCTTGCTGTCCATCTTTCAAAAGAGTCACTCTCTGTCTTCACACTAACTTGTTCTTTAAAAAAAACAAAAACAAAAACAGAAACACAACAGTGTTTACAATATTTAGGGCATCCCATGACCTATATAAAATTCATTTTACATCTGTTTCTTCTTACCTTCCTGATGGTTTTTAGGCCTTTTTTCTGCAGTGTCAGTGGACAGTTCCACACCATGCCTTGCACAGTGCACGCCCCTTCCAGTCTTTCCTCCTTCTTTCCCTGCTTGATCCTTGAATTTGCTCTCAATCCACTGCAGCTGCATCCTCAGGGACTCTATCTCCTGGCTCCTGCGCTTCACCTCCACCAAAAACACATCTTCCACCAACCTGGTCACCTCAAACATGGCTGTCTTCACTACAGCCTCCATCACATCTGAAAGCTGGGTCTGAAAGGTGACTATGAGGGTGTCCAGGTCCGACATGGTGCACTCTATCAGCCTCCCTGTCTATTAGCTGTTACTCACGGGGCTTATGTGCTTTAGTGAATGAATGCAAAGGAGAATGACGTTTGATGTTTTATTAAATGGTGTATTGTGAAAATCCTGCTACATGTTGTAAGCTGAAGGCCATAACCGCAGAGTAATTTCTATTCAACAATACACCAATTTTCCGCTGTCGGTATTCCTCGTGAGGAGGGATAAGCTTTTATTAATAACATTATTAATGGTAAAAAGCAGCCTAACGCGATGTTTACTGATATGAGACGTCGATTTGAACTGTCAGCTAGCCAGCTAATATTTAGCTGTAGCATTCGTGTGATATCGTGTCCGATACGAGTGCTACAGACACTTGTAAACGGGAGTGAAATCTTAATTGTCGAGATGTTTCACGCGTGGGTTTTTGCTTTCGATTGTAACAGCTGTTTAGATAAAGGAATTAAATTGCGTTGAACGGAGCTAGCTACTCATCACTCGCCTGTGGTCCTTGTTTTTGCTCGTGGCGTCACGCACAACGCAGTACGGTGGCCTCGACTGGAGACGAGTAAAAAACGAAACGCGTTTTACTAAAGTGAAACCATCAGGCTGCACCTGGCAGTCAGTTTTAACTTGTAATCGATTTGCGGACATTTTCTTTTTCATATTTTCTTTCCGGCCGACTGGACAGCGTTGTGAAGAAGATTGTAAATTTTGGACTTTTCATACTACATGAAAGTAATTAAGTATTAGATAATTAAATGACAGAAAATCTCCTATTTTTTTACTGTCTACTACAGAATTTATGGGCAGTTAGAACTAACAGAACTTATTCTTTTGCACATTATTTCTTTCTTTTACTAAAAAACTATTAGTTTTGTCGTAGTTTTTCTATCATGTAGAAAAACTAAGTTTTCTTCCACTTTTTTTTTGTATCTTGAGAATTAAATATGTAGCTAAACTTCTTTACACAAACAGAAGAGGCAGTGGTTTTTCCCACTTGCCTGCTTTAGGCCTTTCCCTGAGTCCAGACCTTAAATTAAATCCACTTCACTGAGTTTACAGTTCTGTCTCATATCCCCACAACAAACCTTTGAGCCTCAGAAAATTAACTTCCAGCATTCTTGTGAGGATAATATGCACCAATTTTTACCACCACCTTGTGGTGGAAATGTCTTTAAGGTAAATGCTAGTGTACATAATACTAATAATAATATTACTTCTTTTAACAGCAAAATAAAAACATTAGGTAAACAAATGAAATCGTAACTATAAAATGAATCAAAGAAATTTGATTGTACTCTTTCTATTCCTTTAAAAAAATATTTAAATGTATCAGGCCCTAGATTTCATTAGGCAATAAACAGGCAACATGACTTTTAAACTATAAAAACAGTGCCTCTGAATTTGTTTTGAGAACACAGGCTCCTAATAGACATGGGACCAAGACTATTCAGCTGCTGTCTAGATCACAGTGCTGTTTGGTGTGTGGTAGGGATGGTTACATTTACCATAAAAGATTCATCAGTTGTATGAATTCATATTTCATGAGCAAACAAAACTGACTGTTGAAGAAAAAAAGCCCCTGTTAAAAAAGTATTATTCTGACATCTCTGCTTCTTTTATGCGCTTCATGAAGGCAACAAATGTGTGTATTTTAAATATTGGGCAGAACATCTTCTTTGAGTCTGTATCTATCAGCTGTCAATTGTTTTATTTGTATGGCTCTTTATTATATACAAACATTTACAAAAGAATCTTATTTTGTCATAAAGGATTCTCTTTAGTAGCTAACTGGAATATGTTCACCCACACAGACCTGGACCAGTACGCCTCATCTGTACTGGATTACATCTCC